TTCATATGAAAAAAGAAATATTCAAAAATGAAGTCCTGGGCCCTGATGAGGACTTTACCACGAGAGACTAAGTTATCGTTAGAGCAATAAGTCCACAGAATTTTACAAAAGAAACGAAAGAAGGATGTACCAAAATACGTGAGAATGTGGTTTTCCTCGCCTTCCGTCGCCGCCAGAGATGACCACCGGGCGGGGGAGGGGTGGGCGAACGCGCGGCGATGAAGGGGGGAAGGGGGGGGAAGCAGAAGGGCTATATGGGGTGGGAGTTGGGGTGTGGTGGGGGGGGGGGAGTGAATACGCGTGCCGTTCGCGCCGTGCTGAGGACGCCGAGGCTGGGGGTTCGAGGCCAATCAACAGCGCTCTGCTTGGATCGTTTGTTGAAGCAAAGAAAAATTATCAAATATTCTAAATGTCGTTAGCTATGGTATCTTAAGCAAGAGTAGTAGAAATAGTAGTAGAAGTGGTAGAAGTAGTAGTAGTAGTAGTAGTAGTAGTAGTAGTAGTAGTAGAAGAAGAATAAACCGAAGAAGAGGAGCACTAACTAGTAAAAGCTTAGTCATGGAGAAAGCAATTATGAAAGTGCAAGTGGTTCTGAGGACAGGAGCCACCGCACGCACACCAGGACACTGGCGGAACTGCGGCTTCCCTTCGCCCTGAATACCTGCTGCTGAAAGCTTAACGAGCGCCCGAAATTTACGATCACAGGCCCAAAGAAAAGGCGGTTATATATCCATCTTACAAAATGATAAAACATCACATTCGCCTAAGAGATATCGCTCTACTTTCCCAATGACGAGAAGAACACATCGGCCTCCTTCGGCCCAGATAAAAAAAGAAGCAAAAAATAGGACAAAGTTGTCTCGCCGGGGATATTGGCGCAAAACTTTCCCACGCGCGCTCGAATAAACAATCGTTTTGGGGTAAGAAACGGGAGCAAAATTTATGTGCACATATGTTGGGCCACGGGTCGGGGCATCGAAGCCTGGGCGGGCGGGACCGAACACACACAAAGGGGGACCGTTGCTAGAGCCCGCGTCTAGTGTGACCCCGTCGCCCTCAACCTCGTTCTGTTGAGAACCCTTGAGGCTGCGAGCGTGATGGGCGAGATCGAGGGGAACAGAGGTGTAGAACTCATGTAGAGAATCTTTATTTTCATTAACTATATTTTCTTATTTTTTCTTTGGTGGATCAGTACTTTTTCTTCCATTGAAATCTCCAATAGAAAAGCTGTTTAGTACGACTGAAGAATGTAGTCGCAGTGCATGCGTGTGTGCGTTCGTGTGTGTGTGTGTGTGTGTGTGTGTGTGTGTGTGTGTGTGTGTGTGTGTGTTGTGTGTGTGTGTGTGTGTGTGTGTGTGTGTGTGTGTGTGTGTGTGTGTTATACATATATATATATATATATATATATATATATATATATATATATATATATATATATATATATATATATATATATATATATATGTATATATATATATATGTATATATGTATATATATATATATGTATATGTATATATATGTATATGTATATGTATATATATATATATATAATATATATATATATATATATATATATATATATGTACATGCTACACCGTCTATTTGAAATCACTTCTTTCTATTAGGGAGAAATCTCACTTTTCTTCGGTCGCGGCTAAGAAGGAAGCCATTATCCTCTCGAGCCCAGGTGGGGCGGGAAGGTGTTTATCACGACATCCGTCCCTAGGAAGCTGATAGGATTATAAAGACTTACGGAGACCTCTTTTAAGCTCTCTCTACCTGGAGGAGATCGCACTGCCTTCAGCCGGAAAGGCATCTTGGTTATGCCGCCGTATTAAAGAATGACGTCACGAGGTTCGGTTACCGAACATCGCAAAAGCATTAGTTGCCTATGACATTAAGCGCCCGAACTTGAAACACATGATATGAAACTAAAATAACATATTTTAATCAGTGCAAATTTTCACTCACTTCACAGGACGAGTTTTTTTTTCCAAATACTCCCCGCACACTCTCTCCCTCCCATACAGCAAGTTAAACTCCTGTATTTCACTGAACATCTCTCGTGACACAGGGATTCACGGCAGCACAGACCTATAAGTGAATCAAAAGCACGTTCGCGTCCATTCAAGGAGAGCGTAGCTACTGACCTGCTATTGGCACTGCTGCCACAGGGCGATGGCGTCTAGAAGCTCCTCGTCCTCGGGCGACGTGGCTGACTCGTAGGCGTCCAGGGGGTCGTAGGCGTCCGGCAGGGTCGTCGTGGTGCTGGCGGGGTTGAACATGTTGCTTAGACTGGTGGTGGTGACCGTGACCGGCGTCTCGTGAGAGGACTGCGACGAATACGCGGAATCGTACGAAGGCGTTGGGGACACCGCTGCGTCACTGCACGTGGGAGACACTGCAGACACGTTCATTGGGTACACTGACGCAGGCACTGGTGACACGTTTTCACTGTAATAGTAGCTTGGGTACTGTAAAACACGATACTGTTGCTGGGACAAGACAGTCGTGGGCGCCACGGCGTTGGTGTAAGGGTGGGATGGCTCCTTGGGCGCGGGCGAGGGCTGGCTGGAGGCGACGAGCGTGTTGGTGCGGTGCATCAGGGCATCGTGCGTGTCCAACAACTCCTGTAAGGACCTGATGTACTCCACTGCCTGTTTCAAGGTTTCTACTTTGCTGATCTTCTTGGCTTTGGCGGCTCCGGGTATGTGCTGGCGCAGCGTTGCAAAGCCGTTGTTCACTTGCTTGACACGGTTCCTCTCACGGGCATTTCGGCGGGCCACTGTCACGGGCACTGGCGACACTACATACCCGACGCCACTAAAGTTGATGCGTCGCTTACACTTCACAGGCTCGGGACTTGGATCTGCCAATTTCCTTTTGAGTCCCGTCTTGGGCGGCGTTAACGTGGCGGGAGAAGCCGAAGTTGTGATCACTGTGACGTTCTTAGACACTGTCACGCCCTTGTGTGGCGATGGCCGAATTGGCACCAGGCGCTGTGTGGTGGCAACCGACATCCTTGTGGAATACACGTGCAGTACGAGAG